ATTGTCAATAATATAATCCAAATCTAAAGGAGGGAATGGCAACAGAGCTTAAATTGTGAACACCTGGTTTTCAGAAGGCTATGGATGACAGTGGAAGCCCAAAATCCTTTTGCAAGGTCCATACATGGATTTAGCCTACAGCCAATCCCCTCCAATCATAGTTGAGGGATGTAAATAGCCCTGTTATCAGACAGACGGCATTATAAAGTTGACCCATTTTAAACTGTGATGATGTATTAGGATAATTATCTCTCTAATGTTACACAACGCAGCTTCATCTGGAGAAATGCAGGCAAACGGTTCCTCTAAACTGGTTACCTGCCCCACTGGAGCATAGCTGCTCCCTTCCTGACCTCAGTCACACACGGGCCACAGGAAAGAAAAACAGAAAGCCATCTGGGAAGACAGAAATGGGATGACAGGATCTGCATGGGTACAAAAGAATGAATTATTGTGAAAACTTCCTTTAATTAGACCCACTGAGAAACCCCAGAGCTCCGGGAGAATTAACTTTACTACCTCCCTGTTCCAGACTAGCCATAAAATGTTCTTTTAAAGAACTCAGCAGTCCCAACCCAAATTTCTGGAACGAAGCACTTCCACAACGATTACGCCTTTAAAAAAAATCATCTCGCCAAACACACTCATTGTCAGTTAATGTTTTAAAGACCATGTTGTTGGTTTTTTTAATATCATTATAAAAGGAACCCACATTCATTATAAGAAATTTGGAAAATTTCAAAAAGAATAAAGAAAATAAAAAGTATATGTAACCCTATAGCCCACAAACAACTGCTGATAGTATTAGACACATTTCCTATAAATGTATGTTTTTAAATACTGTAACAAAATGGGTCTGACATGGGGTAGCCAAAGCCAAACAAAACCTGCTTGTGACAAGTCAATTCCAACTATGAACAAGCCGATGTGCACAGCTCTGGACGGTGTCCGATGACTGTAATCTTATGGGGGACAAAGAAGAGGTTTTCGACTCATACAGAGTTACCGTCTTGGAACCCACAGGGGGAGTTCTCCCCTGTCCTATAGAGTTGCTATGAGTCGGCATCGACTTGCTGGCAGTGGGATTGGTTTCTACTAATCTTATAGCAGTGGATCCCAGGTCATTTCTTTCACCCACCGTACCGAGTGACCTTGAACTTCCTACTTCTCTGTTTTGGAGCCAAGTGTAAACAATTTGCGCCACCCCTGAATGATATGATCTGATTTGTGTTCTGATTTTTAACTTGATAATGTGTCAGGGCTATGGAGCAATCCCACTGATTTTAATCGTCCTAAGATATTTCTATTTCCAAATAGTTCTATAAAGAAAAATATTGCTGGTATCATAATTATCTCATGGAGAATACTTGGTCCACACCTCTAACCTTTCTCATTAGGAAAGCTTGCTACTAAAAAAAATAATAAAAAGAGTTGGGAGTAAAGTGTTAACATGTTAAGGGTTTGCATACCCTGTTTAAGAACAGTTTGTCCCAAGGCATCCACTGACCAGGTAACACCAATTTATATATAAGACTGAAGGTTCTCACTTTCAAAACACTCTCTGCCTTGGAGTCATTTCCGACCCATTAGGA